GCGCTCCGGAGGCTTCGAAGGCTCAAAATCCCACCTCGTCTCAAGCTGTAAGATCGCTTTATCTTAAACTTTAATCGAATCTTGAATTCAGTCGTAATTTGTAAATCGCCTTTTCCGTATTTCTTTGAAAAGAATCAACTTCCCAATTAAGGTGGAAATTAAAACATTTCCGCAAATCTGCCCATTTTAAAATGTTATGACGGACTGGTGGATTTTGCCGTTTAAATCTGCTGTTGAGAAACGTTTCTTCAATCTTCCGCCTGACCACATCTTGGCTGAAGTGTCAACATCAGCAGATGTCGCTGTATCGAAGGATCAAAGTTGCACGTGTGTCACATTGAACTCTTCCCCTTTTATTGCAAACTACAACATTGTTCAATATTATACAATTGCTTTTGAAGCTGATTATGCAATTTAATGTTTAAGATTAGATTATTTGAGTGGAACTGGGATAAGAAGCCCAGAAGCAACACGTCTGCAACAACATCTATAGATACAAAACGCAAAGAAACGCAAAATATTGCAGATGCTGTAAATCTAAAACAAAAACCGAAGTCGCTGGGTACACACTGCAGGTCAGGCAGCATCTATGGAGAAGGAACGTGAGTCAATGTTTCGGGTCCTCGACCTCTCGTGAGAACACCTATAGGTATGTTTGCTCGATGCCAATGCATACTTCAGAATTCTTCCTTTTTCCTTGACAAAGGAACAGTCAAAATATATAAATGACATAACGTTAGCCTGTGTTGTGAGAAGAAACACACTTTATAAAATCTCTATCACTTAAATTTCAAGACAAGCCCCGAAATAACACATGTCAATTAAATACCATCTGGTGCAATACCGCGCCTTGGCTGTGTCCCCCAAACAGCATTTTCTTCATAGTTATTCTAACGCATTAAAAAGGCACACTTACTTTCACAAACAGATACCAATGAAACTTGATCAACACGAGTTTTAATCTTCAACAGCATATGTTCTTGGAAATAATCACATGGTATTGCTATGCAAATACTTCAGCAGAATAGCACATTAAGCTTAATGAAGATCTGAACACTGAACGAAATAAAGACCTGTAGGGGCCTTGGTGACAGGTGGGGGTGGAGTAGATGGTCTGGACATGCGGAAGGAGACGTAAGGAAGGAGGATACAGCAAAGCAATATTTGCAATCTTTGACATGAAGAAGTCCAGGACTTCTTTGCACATGTCAGCATGATGTTTCAGCATTGTGCAATCGGCAGCATTCTAGTCTCTGATGCAGAAGATTTTGGGTTCAAGTCACACAGTAGGCCTTTAAATTCCTATTGTCCAGGGTGACACCACAATGCAAAATTGGATATGCTGCGTTGTTTCAGGTGCCATGCTGTTTGCCAATTCATGGTAAAGATGGTAAAGATCCCATATCGCTCCAGAAAAAGAAGAAAGAATTTCTTCTGGTCTCCTGGACAGAAATTCGATGAATGCAAATTCATTTCATTTTGTTTGTGAGACTCTGCTGTGCCCAAATTGGCTGCCATGTTTGCCTAGAAACTATACACAGTATATCCAGTGGATTATCAGGAAACGCCCTCCTATATCCAATATATTATCCATTCTATATCTGTGCCGCGACCAGCACAGCCTCCCCCCACCTCCACAACATCGCCCGGCTTCTCCACTGTCTCAAATTGCATGATGCTGCAAACCTCATACACGCATTTATAACACTAGGCTTAACTATGCAAACTCCCTGCTTGTCAGCTTCCCAAAATCCTGCCTCCAAGGAGATCATTCTGAACTCTGCAGCCTGTGTCCTCTCCTGCACCAGGCTCTGTAATCCTATCCCACCACCCCCTCACAGCCATTTTTCCCAGACTCCACTGGCTTCCCATCATACAGTTCAAGATCCTGGTTCCCACCTTCAAAGCCCTACATGACCTTACTCTCCCCTACATCTGCGACTTCCTAACTCCCTAACAACCTGCCCACTCCCGGGCTCCATCCTACTTGATGTCCCCCACCTCACCCATTCCACCATTGAGGCGTGGCATTCAGCCACTCTGCCCCCACTTTCTGGAATTAAATGCCAAAGACCCTCAGCTCACACCCTCTCTTGCCTCTTTCAAGTCCCGTCTCAACAACAACAACAACAACAAAAACAATAAGATTCCATTTATAGAGTGCCTTTCACGTCGGGAGGACGTCCCAAGGCGCTGGACGGTTGGGTCAGAACCCGAGCAAGGGGGAAATGGTCAGGGTGAGGGGAGGGAAGGGAGAGAGTGAGGAGGGGGTAGAGAGTCGAGAGGGGAGCTGAAGGCACGGTCAAAGAGAAAGGTCTTGAGACCGGCGTTGAAGGAGGAAGGGGAAGAAGCAAGGCAAAGGCACTGGGGGATGGAGTTCCAGAGCCTAGGGGCTGAGAGGCTGAAGGCCCGACCACCGATGGTAGGGCGATTGGGGCGGGGGATGTGGAGCAGACCGGAGCCAGAGGAATGGAAGGTACGGGCAAGTAGGTAGGGGGTAGTAGGTCGGAGAGGTAGGAGGGAGACTCTCCTCTCCTCCTCAAGACTCTCCTCTTCAACAGTGTCTTCGATCTCCCTCCTTCCCACCTTGCCCTCCACCCTACCCGATCCCACACCAGCTTCCCAGCTCGGGTCCAAAACATTGATTGTCCAGCACCTTGGGCATCCTCCCATAGTGAAAGGCACTATACAATGTGATTTTGATGATGTTGTTGCTATTATTATGTATTTATTTTTAATAATATGGTACACATAATGTAGGAGTACAGTAGTTATGTTTTAAAATGAAAGCTGCTCTATGTTTCTGCGAATTTGCAAGTCATTTGAGTCATAAATGTGACATTGGATCAACGCACGCGCAGAATTCAACACAGGAAGCGTCAGAATGATCCTGGAAACCTGCATTTGAACTTTGCACTTCGTTCAGCAGATTGAGCAACATAAATCTATTGTGACATTTCCGGTTCCATGTCACATCACATTATAGTTGTCAGGAACAGGAAGGTCAGAGTTGAGGCTATATATTTTTATGGCATCCCATCTCTGTTCACTGGAAGGAAATATAGATTTTACAGCTGTTAATATTTTATCAGAAAAACTCCAGTGTTATAGGGCAAAAGGGAAACAGGCGGGGAATTACAAATCATTGTCTAAGCATGGCGACGACACGTTCACTAAAACATTTATTACGAGGCTCTCTTCCAAGATCAGAAGAGAACAATTTACCAAAGTGCAAACCTTTCCACACATGACAGGCTCTACCTGATATTTCGGCTGAAAGCACCAAAGGACAATTTAAAATGCAGGTGGAGGATGATATCGCAGCCCCAATCCGATTCCTGTGTGATGATATCGAACTGATTCACGAAATGTTTGACGAGTGAAATCGCAAATTAGCAGGGCCTGGTGTCATTTGTGGCATTGTCTTTACATGTTAGAAACAGAGCAAACACTACATGAATAATATATCGCATGTACCTATCTCTCAGTGGGTTGCTGTCCTCTCTGCTAGCGGATCAACAGAGCCCTGACTCCTTTCAGCATTGATAACGTTACAAGAGAGAAACGTTCTTTTAGCATTAGGAAGTGGGACTCGGGCTCCTATTCTGGCAATAACAACAGCTAATTACATGCGTGCAGCGCCTTTCACGTAGGGAGGGTGCCTCAAGATGCGAGGCAGTAAGGGGTTGAGTCTCGAGCTGGGGATTGGGATCAGGATGGGTGGAGGGCAGAGAGGGTAGGGATAGGAAGCGGTCGACGAGGAGGTCTTAAGATGGACATTGAAGGAGTCAAGGGAGGGAGCGAGGTGAAGGGATTTGTAGGACGCAGAGGTAAGGAGGAATAAATCTGTAGAGGGCTTTGAAGGCGATCATGAAGCTTTTGAGCTGGGAGGTGGGCAGCAATGGCCCCGGGCGAGGGTAGGGTGATAGGTTCACCTTGCTAAACAGATTGCATCTGTAATACGGCATAGTGGAGTCCATAGGATCCCAGTGTGAGGGAAGGATGGGGACTGGAAACTGCGGGAAGGTGACTTGGACAGTTTATAGTGTGAAATTCTCGAAACACTACATATAATTTGAGGATGGCAACTATAGCTTGTAAAATGTGGCTTCCAGTGCGGGTCTGTCGAAAGTCAGGTGTAGCAGGTCAGCGTGCAAGTGTCTGGTTCCTCTGTTCGTGGGTCCTTAGATAAAGGAGGGCTATAAAGGATAAGCTCGTCTTATACTGCTCATTGTCCAGAACCCAACAAAATGATGAAACAATTATGGCACATCAGAACAAGCTCCACAACAGCGAAATTCCCTATTAAACTAGGCAAGTGGTCTTGCAGGATTGACACGCTGCAAAGCCATGATATATATAAATATTTAATGGTATAAGACTTTTCTACTATTCTGTAAATAATAGTGTGTTGTGTGATTACTATAAATTGTAATAATCCTTGCATTTGATATAGTGCCTTATTTTGTCGTCTGGAAGTCCCAAAGCTGTCAAGTTAATTGACTGTATAAGTTGTAGGCGAAACTCGGCAGCAGATGGGATGGTGCAATGTACTGTCCTACAAACAGTCGTGAATCGAGTGAGCAGATTTTGAAAATTGCCCAACATTTGACCCTGCCCGGAAATCGACCCAGGTCCTGTTGCCTACGAGGCAAGTGTTGTAACCAATAAGCTTTTGCAGGAAATAGTTTGTTTCATATTTGAAATAAAAATGTATAAATAAACCAAACTCTTCAGGGAGAAACGTTATGCAATATTATCATGAAATATCTTTTGAAATATGAGCGGTAAAATGCTTCAAATCTGCATGATCTTCAATCTCCTGTTCCGAATAAGGAATCCCATTGGACGATGCCACCCGGAGAGTGATTTGCATAATTTATGAATTTAATTGGACTTGCATCACCGAATGGTTCTTAAGGAGAGTTTAGAAAGGAGCAGGAGAGTGTCATTTGTCTTGAAAATCTCTCATCTATCTGATCTTCATCGAAGTGTTCACAATGGGCAATTGGCTCCAAGTTCTGGCAGCATTGCTCATGTGTCTCCATGGTAAGCGTTGTGGAATCCGCACTGTTCTGAATTACTTTGTATAGTTCTACAGTGTGACCTGTTTGTGACTTGTTATTTCACCAGATACAACAGCAGCTGTTACCCTGACTCAGCCAACCTCCATCTCAACCTCCCCGGGCAACACCGTCAAGATCACCTGTATCATGTCCGGAGCCACGAGGTCAGGCAACTATTGGACGAGTTTTTCTCTTTGACCGAGCCTTCAGCTCCCCTCTCGACTCTCTTCCCTCTCATCGCTCCCTCCCATCCCTCCCTCACCCTGACCATTTTCCCCCCTCCTCGCTCCCTCCCTCCCTTCCCTCCCCTCACCCTGACCATTTCCCCCCTGCTCGGGTCCTGACCCAACTGTGCAGTGCCTTGGGACGTCCTCCTGACGTGAAAGGCGCTTTATAAATGGAATCTTGTTGTTGTTGTTGTTGGTACCAGCAGAAGCCTGGCAGCGGCCCTGTGTTTGTTTGGGATGAGACCAGAGGCACCGCTGGCAGTATTCCCGGTCGATTCACTGGTTCTGTGGACTCCTCAATGCATTTAACCATCAGTGGTGTTCAACCAGAGGATGCCGCCGATTACTATTGTGGTGCCCAGTATGCCCACAGTCCATATAACTTCTTGTTCGGTACAGGGACCAAGTTGAGTTTGAGACGTAAGTGATTTCTGACATTTTTTCGATTCTTCGATAACTATTTTGATCTGGTTCTACTTTAAAGATTCTAAATTATAATGCTTATTTGTCTGAGCCTCGCTCTGTGTTCAATTGTGTTTCACACTGTTCCTGTAATATTTACAACTACTCATACCATTCGTCTTATGTGGAAATCGAACATGCGAAGAAGAAAGAAACATGCAAATTCTTAGGTTAATTGAGAGTCTCTGAAGAATTAAGGCGGATAGTCCAGAAAAACAACAAAGGCAAAAATGTGGAGTAAGGAATGAAACTTTCTCAAGCGGAGTTAAATGGCGGTCATCTATTCAGTTAACAGTCTGTATATTGAAGGACTCAAGATGTGAAGTTCACTATACCATAATCTGAATATCCAGGTAAGCAATGAGTTTCAATAGGAAAAACTAAGTAACAGTTTCATACCAGGGATTGAACACCAATCTCATGGTGCCAGATTAATTAAGGTATATGCTTACTTTCTAGTTTTTCCAAAATTAATCATAATAATAATAATCTTTGCATTTGATATAGTGCTTTTCACGTCTTCGCGACGTCTCAAAGTGCTTCACAGAATAGACTGTAAAGTGAATTGACCGTTTATTTGTGGGCGAAATGTGGCAGCCAATTGTGCACAGCAGTGTCCCGCAAACAGTCATGGACTGAAAATGACCAATTTATTATTGTTTCGTTGGTTTGGAGGGATTATTTGGAGGGTTTAAAATTGTGAAAATAAAAATAATCTCCAGCACAAGAAAACTGCAATCTTCCAGCTCACTCTCCCTTGCCTCTAATGGACCGATTGGTGAACGATTCAAATCTCAGAGGTAACCGTGGAAATATTTCTAGCCTGAAACTAATTGCACATTTGAAGAAGTTACATTTTCAAGAGACCATGTAACCAGATGACTGTGAATAACTCGAACAGAGGTTTCTCTGATCATTATTGCACAATCGCGTCTAGTCTATTATTTTAGTATAATTCCAATGTTGTAATCGGCTCAGTGAGTGAATGTGTATTTTGATACAATTTAGACTTGTGCAATGAACCACCGTGTTATTCCTCCCATGAATAGACCTCTCTGTATTATTTGTTTCTCACAGAGTTGTAATAGGATTTGGGTTGTTTAAAATGTTTTATTTTCTCCCCATTCCGTGTTGATGCCACTAAAGGGAGCACCATTGAAATTAGCTGCAGAGACTAAGTAATGTCGCATGTATTTCACCCCAAGCTGCTGTAAATGTTGAGATGTGATTCAGGGCTGAGTGAAGACACACCCTGAGCGGCCGCACAATCTGGTCAAAGCAGAAATAAATGTACGAAAAAAATATATTACTTAAGTTGTGGAAATATTATATCTTCATTTCCTGTAGACGATGCAGCGATATTTATTATAAATACAATCTTATATATCAAGTGCCCAATTGAACATTGCGAAATTGGCAATCATTCTATTCAACTGCTGAAATCTTACCTCATTGAGCATCTCAAATGCTTCATGTTTTGACTTTTCCTTTATACAGCATTTGAGGAAAACGAACACTCTGCTTTTTTCGTATTTTCACGTTTTTACTATCTGCCACTGGTGTCTGTAAAACACTGAATCGAAACTGTGATTTGTTTTAAGAGGGGCGATGAAAGAATTTGTGGGTTTTACAATTATTTTGATCAGCTGTGACTGAGAAGGAGGCCTGTTCAAACTGATTCGTTATCATTATAACATAATATGTAATGTTCTGTTATATTTATCAACAGTATTTCGTGATGTACTGAAACAGGAGATGTACACAAACCACACTTCGATTGTGGGGCTTCTAATTTTCTTTCGCCTGCGTTTCGCCCATTAAGTATACAGGCTAAATATAAATACACACTTTACAGTGTAATCTGCGAAGACGTGATAAGGCGCTGTATCAAATGCAAGCATTGATATTATTATTGCATTATTATCATCATCATTTACCTGTAACTGGTCAAAGTGAAAGGCATTATAGAACTGTAATTTGTTGCTGTTGTTATCTAGACCTTCGATTTCGTTGAAGTCATTGCTCAGCCGCACAGTAGTGGAATTTAATTCAGTTTCCTCCCAGCTAAAGTCACAACATTATTAAAAGTACAAGTTGGGTCCAATGATTGTGTAGCGACTATTGAAACTCAAAAAAGTACTCAAAGTTTGACACGTTGCTTCCCGAAATTGGGCACAATTGGAATTAGAGGCAATGGAGCTTTTAGTTGCAAACAGTTATAGATTGACATTTTGGCTGTTCTCTCCTTCGTGTATACGATTTGTAAGAGAAACAATTAATAACTATAACGTTTTACTGTACTTTTATTCAGTAGTTCATGGGTCATATTCCCTGTGGCATGGCATTTAGTGTCTGATGTAATTTCTGATGATTGTAGTCTTTAATTTCTTAAATGTATTCGTGAGAATTTACAGACGGTAAAATAAGCTATCGTGTTTGGTGAGCAACCCTCATCAACAGTTACCCATTCACACTGATTTGATATCTTTATAGATGGATATTGTCTCCGTTCGACATTATTGACAACGGGCAAGAACATGTTGCATTTATTCAATAGTGCTGCGAGAGTTGTTTTGTAGGTCGGTTGAAGAAAGGCATTGCAATTTAAAAGATTTAATATTTAATTTTAAACTGTTCTTCGTGTCATCAAATAATGGACATTATCTCAGTACAATATATTTTCCTTACAGACCCGCGGGGCCCTTCGGTGACTGTCCTTCCGCCTTCACCAGATCAAATCACAGCAAAGAACAAGGCGACCCTGGTGTGTCTGGTGAATGATTTTATCCCGGGAGCTGTGGAGGTCGAGTGGACTGTGGATGGCAGTGCCAGAAGTCAAGGTGTGGAAACCAGTGCGATCAAACAGCAGGCGGACAACACGTACAGTGTGAGCAGTTATCTGACTCTGCCAACCTCCGAGTGGGAGTCACACGACCTGTATTCCTGTGTGGTCAAACACGAGACTCTGGCCACTCCGCTCGAAAAAAGCATCGCCAGATCCAGTTGTACCTAAACCAGGAATGTGCACCGATAGTCGATTGAACCATTGGCAATCTACCTTTAATAATAATAATTGTGTTTTATAATATGTTGTCGATTATGCTAATTTTGTCATAAATTTTCCAAATTGTTAACAATAAATACGCAGTTCATTTCGTTTGCTGGAATCCTTACGTTGAATTTCACGTCGTGTTCTCCTTGTGTCATATTACACAAATATTATCGAAGAATAATAAAATGTCTCTGCATTGTACTCTGCGCCGTCATTCATTTGCTTCCAGATTCCGATCAGTTAAACGATGAGGTTTTAATCTTATTGGTATTATTCTGCCTTGTTTTGCATCAAACAACGACAGTTGTATAGAACTGGTTTACAGACATGTTGTCTTATGAGAGGAAAAATTAGACTAATAGTAAATCATAGCAATAAGAGAACAGGATAAAAACATTCCACTGCAGCAGGTTTTGTTCTGTATTGTGCGCCCCGAAGGTTTCGAAAGCTGAACATCCCACCTAGTCGAGGCCTAAGATCATTTTGTCTTTAACTTTAATGCAGTGTGGAAACGGAGGGAAGGAGGGGGATCTTGAATTCGGTGTCAATTTGTAAGTTTATTTTCCGTATTTCTGAAAAAAAACTTCCCAATTAAAGTTGAAATGAAAATATTTCCGCAAATCTGTGCAATTCAAATCTTATGACAAATTGGTTGAGTTCGTCCTTTAAGTCTTCTGTTGAGAAAACGTTTGTTTCCAACTTCAACTGATAAAGTCTTAGCTGATTTATTAACATCAGCAGATGTCGCTGTATCAATGGGTCAAAGTTGCATGCATGTCACATTAATGTCTTCCCCATTTATTTCAAGCTACAGGATTGCTACACATTATACAAGTGATTTTGAAGGTCATTATTTAATAGAATATTAAAGGTTGGATTATTTGAGTGGAACTAGGACAAGAAGCCCAGAAACAACATGACTGCAACAACATCCAAATGTATGTTTGGTTGAGGACAATCCATACTTCAGACTTCTTCCTTTTTCCTTGATAACGGAAGAGTCAAAATATATAAATTACATCCCATTAGCTTATTCTGTTAGGAAATACATCCAATAGAAATGTTATATCCCGTAAATTTCGAGAGAAGCCCCAAAGGAACAGCAGTCAATCAAATACCATTTTAGCCGATCCCACGGCTTGGCTGAGTGACAACAACAGGTTATTTTTCATTGTTGCTCTAACGTATTAGAAAAGCTACACACATATATTCAAATGTTTAACTCCGCGAACAGATATCAATTCAACTTAATCAACATATGTAAGGTTTAATTTTAAACAACATATTTTCTTGGAAATAATCACATTGTATTGCGATGGAAACATTTCAGCAGATGGGAAGATCTGATTAAGCATTTCCATGTCAATTAAACTTTAATATGCAAATACTTCAGCAGAATAGCGCATTAAGCTAATAGAGATCTGAACATTGAATGTAATAAAGATCTGGAGGGACTGTGGTGGCAGGATATGTGGTGTAGATAGTCTGGGGCGTGCGAAAGGAGATGTAAGGAAGGAGGATGCAGCCAAGCAGATATTTTCAATGTTTGACATGATGAAGTCTAGCACTTCTTCACAAGTGTCAGCATGATGTGTCAGAATTGCGCAGTTGGTAACATTCTAGTTTCTGATTCAGAAGATTGTGGGTTTAAATTTGATTGCCCTTTGATTGCTATTGTCTAGGTTGACAAGGCAATGCAATGATGGAGATGTACTGCATTGTTTTCAGTATCGTGCCATTTGCCTATTCGTGGTGGATGATAAAGATCCCATATCACTCCATAAAAATGAAGAGAATGTCTCCTGGTCGCCTGGCCAGCAGTTCCCGAAATAACAATTATCATTCGCTTCATGACTGTTTGTGAGATTCTGCTGCGTCCAAATTGGCTAGAAAATATATACAGTATTATCAGTGGATCACCGGGAAACACCCTCCTATATCCAATGTTTATCGGTGCCATGTCTTGCTCTGGTTCCCCCACCTCTGCAACATTGCCTGGCTCTTGAATTGTCTGAAACCGGAAGCCACCGAAACATTCATACTCACATTCATAACATCCAGGCTTGACTATGCACACTCCCTGCTTGTCGACCTCCCCAACTCCTCCCCTCATAGGCTTCAGATCATAGTGAACAGCACACCAGGCTCCATGATTCTATCAGCACTGCCCGCATCCTTGCCCGACCCCACTGGCTTCCCATCATACAGAAAGTACAGTTCAAAATCCTGGTCCTCACCTTGAAAGCTATCCATGGTCTTGCTTCCCCCCGACTTCCCCACTAGTAACTTACCCAACTCCTGGGCTCCAGCCTGCTTCGCAACATCAGCCTCGCCCACCCAACTATTGCTGGGTGGGCATTCAGCCACTTTGCCCCCATCCTCTGGAATGCCACAGTCCCACCACCTCATCCCCTCCCTTCCCTTCATCAAGACACAACTCAAGACCTTCCTTTTTGACCATGCTTTCAAGCATCCTCCTATTCCCCCTGACCTCCAAGCTCTCCGATCCCACCCCAGCACCACACTCCCAGCTCGGGTCGAAAACATTGATTGTCTAGCACCATGGGATGTCCTCCCAACATTAAAGGCGATATACAAATGCAATGTTGATGATGTTTTTGTTGCACAGCCAGGTGAGGGGCCACTCAATTGGGAGCGAAGGTAGGAGAGTGCAGTGCGGGAGTGACGGGGCAGTGTGATTCACAAAGCCTCTGGCACTGCCAACGCAGTCATGACCTGGGAGGCTGAGCCTGAGGGCTGATGCCATCAAGCTGATCACTCGCTCCCGGTCTCTGCATGCGCGTTTTGGCTGCCGCCCCGACCCGAGCCTCCCCCTCCACTCCAAATGTCTCTCCTCCCGCTCCCCTCTATGTCCCTTCTCCCAACCCCTTCTATCCGCTACTCCCCTCTGTCCTTCTCTCCCACCGCCCTACCCGCCTTCTCTCTCTCCTCAACCCCATCACCACTTCCCCCTACTTTTGCCTGGGTATCCTCCGCCAGGCCCATCTTGGCTTTCCGGCACTGGCTGTCCCAGAGCAGCAACCGCACGTGTCCCATCACTCACTCCCACCACTCAAACTGCCTCCTTAAGGTAAACCTAACTTCCCCTTCCCTCATACATATCCTCCCCAACTGTCAACTCACACCACTTTCCACAACCATCTCTCCTGTACAACCCAAAATCCTCTACACACCAGTCTCTGGTACACACCAATCCCCCCACCCACGCCTCCAGCAAACCCACCCACATTTCCCTCCAAAATGCCCGTTCCCTCTCAAATAAAGCCCTCACCATCCACGACCTCATCCTGAACGAGCACCTTGACATTCTTGGGCTCACAAAAACCTGTCTCTCCCCCAATGACCCCCTCCGCCTAGTGAAAGCCTTCACTCCAGGCTACACCTTTGACGACACCCCCCGTCTAAACCAATGTGGCGACGGGGTGGCCTTCATTTCCAAAGCCTCCCTTGGTCTCACCCCTTCCTCCTCTGGCTACTTCCCCTCCTTCGAGCACCTCACCCTCTTCAACCCCTCTCTCCCATTGAAAATCTTCCTTGTCTACCGCCCCCCTAAGCTCCCTGGCTCCTTCCACACAGATATCTCTAGTCTAATAATAATAATCCTTGCATTTGATGTAGCGCTTTTCACGTCGGGAGGACGTCCCAAAGTGCTTCACAGAACACACTGTAAAGTGAATTGACTGTATAATTGTGGGCGAACGCGGCAGCCAATTGCGCACAATAATGTCCCACAAACAGTCATAGATTGAAAATTACCAATTTATTATTGTTTTTGGTTTTTGGAGGGTTTATTACTAGGTGTGTGGAGTAAGGAAACTTACCCAAGGTTTCGCCCTCTGCCTGGAATTGAACTTAGGTCTCTCACTTGCAAAGCGAGTGCTCTAACCACTGAGCTATAGGACTCCACAGGACTCTACTTGAACATATTCAAGACTGAGATAGATAGATTTCTTATTGCAAAAGGGATTAAGGGATATAAGGATAAGGCAAGGTTAGGTTATTAGCTGGAGTTAGATTAGAAGCTCAGCCATGATTGAATGGCGGGGCAGGCTCGAAGGGCCGAATGGCCTACTCCTGCTCCTACATGTTATGTTATGTTATGTTATGTTATGTTATGTTATGTTATGTTATGTTATGTTATGTTATGTTATGTTATGTTATGTTATGTTATGTTATGTTATGTTATGTTAGTCTCTTCCCTGTCCCTCTGCTCTGAACACCTGCTCATAATGGGCTATTTCAAGCTCTTCCTAAACTCCCCTTGCACCACTTCTGCCGATTTCACTGCCCTCCTCTCCTCCCTAAACCTTACCCTTCATATAAACTCACCCACCCACAACTGTGGTTCTACACTTGACCTCATCATCACCCATGGCCTTGATATTTCCGACCTCAGCGTAGTGGGCAAGGCCATCTCGGACCACTTTTTCATCTCTTTCTCCTCTCACATTCCCTCTCCCCTCCACCAAGCCCTCAACCATTCTCTACTGCCCTTGGAAAAGGCTACCCTCCTGAGACCCTCACAAAGGCCCTCTCATCATCAAACATCCTATCCCTCTGGCCTTCCACCTGCTGTCCACCTGCTCCGTGATCGCCTCTCCTCCATCTTCAACTCCCTTGTCCCCCTAAAATCTAGGACTGTCTAAAAACCCACCAGAGCCCATCGGTACAACAACCATCTCGGCCGCCTAAAGACCCAAACCCGTCTGCTCGAGTGCCAACCCCATCCGACATTCCTTCCTTCCCATCGCTCCCTCCTCCCTCTCACATACCACTACCTCCATGAAACCACCACCTGCTGCCTCGACCCTCTCCCCACCTACTTACTGGTCACCCAGCTCCCCCTCCTCTGCCCACTACTGGTTGATGTAATAAATCAGTCCCTCTCCTCCGGATCAGACCATGCCTCCCTGGACCTCTCCGCTGCGTTCGACATAGTCGATCACGCCATCCTCCTCCACCGCCTTTTCTCAGTCATCCACCACAGTGGGACCGCACTCACCTGATTCGAATCCTACCTCACAAACTGCCAGCAGTACATCTGCACAAATGGCTTCTCCTCCCGCACTCACCCGGTCACCTGCGGGTACCCCATGGATCCATCCTTGGCCCCCTCCTCTTTCTGATCTATTTGCTCCCTCTTGGGGATGTCATCCACAGACATGCGTTACAGTTCCACATGTATGCAGACGACACCCAACTCTAATTTTCCACCTCTCTTTGTGACCCCCAGTCCCTTGATGTTCTGTCAGCCCACCTGTCAGATCTCAGGGCTGGATGAGCGCAAATTTCCTTCAGCTGAACGTTGACAAGACGGAAGCCATACTCTTTGGCTCTCGTGAATGTCTAAAATCTCACGGCTCTCATCTCCTCCACCTACCCGACCTCCCACTAAAACTCTCTGAGCCCGTATGCAACCTAGGCGACAGGTTCAACCCCCAATTATTCTTCCTCCCCCACATCCGGTCCCTCACCAGTACTGTTTTCTTCCACCTCCAATGCATTGCCCGTCTCCGCCAATACCTCACTCCAAATCTGCTGAAACCCTGTTCCATGCCTTTGTCACCTCTCGGCTGGACTACTTTAACGCCTTTCTCACCGTTCTCCCATCCACTACCATCCATCAAATCCAAATCATTCAAAACTCTGCCGCCCGCATTCTCACCCACACGAAACTCCGCTCCCCAATCACCCCAGTCCTCGCCAGACTGCACTGGCTCCCTATCACAGAGAAGATCGATTTCAAGATCCTCACCCTTGTATTAAACACCCTGCACTCCTCTGCACCCCCCTACATCTCTGACCTCCTCTCTCCTCAAAGCAGTACCTTCGTTCCTCCGGTTCTGGCCTCCTCCTCATCCCACGAGTCCTCCGCTCCACCCTCGGTGGCCGTGCCTTCAGCCACTATGCCCCGAGGCTCTGGAACTGCCTTCCTCACTCCCTTCAACTCGCACCCTCCCTTCCCATTTTCAGGTCTCTGCTGAAGACCTTTCTTTTCGACTGCGCCTTTGGTCACCTTCCACCCTTCCCCCTGGCTCAGTCCTGGGATCCATTACTGTAAAGCGCTCTGAGATACCGTGCGGCATGGAGGGCGCTGTATAAATCCAAGTTGTTGTTGTTGATGTTGTTGTTGTTGCTACTTTTTTAGTAATACAGTCCATGTAATGTAGGAGTACTGTAGTTAGGTTTTAAAATGAAAGCTGCTCTATGTTTCTGTGGATTTGCAAGTCATTTGAGTCCGAAATGCAGCATTGGATCAACGCATGCACACAATTCAAACAAGGCGTGTCCGAATGATGGTGGAAACCTGCATTTGAGCACTACTCTTGGTTCAGCAGGTTGAGGAACTTAAATCTGCTGTTACATTTCTCGTTCCATATCACAGCACATTATAGTTGTCAGAAACAGGTCCAGAAGAACGCAATTGGGTGTTTTTGTTTTGATGCCATCGCATCCCTGTTCCCTGGAAGGAAATGTAGATTTACAGTTGTTAAATGTAAAACAAACTCCAGTATGATAGGGCAAAAGGGAAACAAGCAAGACATTGCAAATCATTGTTGAAGCACGGCGAGACCACCTTCACCAACACATTTATTATGAGGCTCTCTTCCAAGGTTAGAAGAGAACAATTTGCCAAAGTGCAAACCTTTCCACACACTATAAGCTCTACACGATATTTCGGTTGAAGCAAACAAAACGCAATGTAAAAGACAGGTCGGAGATGATATCGCAGCGCCGACCGGATTCCCCTGTGTTGATATCGAAGTGATTAACGAAATGTTTGGCGAAAGGAATCACAAATTAGCAAATCTCATTTGTGGCACTGCCTTTACATGTAACAAACAGAGCTAATTCTACATCAATAATTTTTCACATGCACCAACCTCCAGGTGCATTGCTGTCCTCCCTGCTGGCAGATCAACAGAGCCCCGGCTCCTTTCAGCGTTTATAACGTTATAAGAGAGAAACGTTCTTTTAGGCTCAGGAAGTGGGAATCGAGCTCGTATTTTTTGGTAATAACAACAAATTACACTTGTGCAGCGCCTTTCATTTAGAGATGATGTCTGAAGGCGCTGGACAGTCAGGGATTACGAACAGAGCTGCGGGTTGAGATCAGATGAGATAGAGGGAATGCAGAGTAGGGATCGGAGAGTGACTGATGCTGTGGACGACGAGGGGGGTCTTAAGATGGTTATTGAATGAGTGATGGGAGGGAGCGAGGTGAAGTAACTGTGGGACCAAAGTGATACTGAGGTATAGAGGCCGGAGAGGGCTTTGAAGGCGATGATGAGGCTTTTGAGCATTATCTTCTGGGAGATAGGTCGCAAATGAAGCCGGGCCACGGTAGGGGTGATACATTCACCTCGCTAAACAGATCATATCTGCAGTAGTGGAGTGGAGTCAAGAGAATACCAGTGTGAGGGCAGCATCACGACTGGAACCCGCAGGAAGGTGACTTGGACAGTTTATGTTGGGAAAAATCTACAAACTGTACATATAATTTAAGAATGGCTGGCGTTGCTTATAAAGCGTAGCTTCCTGTGCAAGTCTGTCAAAAGTCAGGTGTAACAGGACAGCGTGCAACCTGCAACTGCAACTGTCTTTGGTTCCTCTGTTGTCAATCCTTACCTAAAGCATGGCTGCAAAGAATAAGCTGGTACTGTTCTGCTGATTGCCCAGAACCCAACAAATCGCTGAAATAATTATCCAACATCGGAATAAGCTCCACGACAGTGAAATTGCCTGTGAACCTGGGCAAGTGATATTGCAGGATTTACACGCTGCAAAACCATGACATATATTAATGTTTAATGGAATAAAACTTTTCCACCATTCTGTAAATAACTGTGTTTTGTTCGGTTACTATTAATAATAATCATTGCATTTGATACAGCAATTTATCGCAATTTCTAGGTTTCTCAACGCTGTCAAATTAAATTACTATTCATTTTATGGGGGAAACTCGGCAGCCAATGGCACACTGTCGTGTCCTACAAACAGTCGTAGATTGAGTGACCATATTTTGGAAACTTGCCCAAACTTCCTGTTGTTTGCGACGAGAGTGCTGGAGCCACGAAGCTACAGAACTGCACAAAATATTACCTTTACGTAGCATGAAGTACTTTGTTTCGTATTGGAAATAAAAACGTTTCAGTGCATCAAACTCTTCAGGGAGAAAGGTTATGCTATATTATCATGAAATATCTTTTGAAATATGGGCGGTAAAATGCCTCAAATCTGCATGATCTTCAATCTCCTGTTCAGAACAAGGAACTCTATTGGACGATGCAACCCGGAGAGTGATTTGCATAGTTTATCAATTCAATTGGACTTGCATCACCTGATGGTTCTTAAGGAGATGTTTGCAAAGAAGCAGGAAAGTGTCATTTGTCTTGAAAATCTCTCATCTCTCTGATCTTCATCAAAATGTTAAGAATGGGCGATTGGCTCCGAGTTCCAGTGGCCCTACTCCTGTATCTGCATGGTAAGCGCTGTGGAATCCGAACTGATATACATTAAATTCACTTTGTACAGTTCTACAATGTGACCTATTTGTGACTTGTTATCTCACCAGGGACAACTGCAGCTGTTACCCTGACTCAGCCACCGTCCATCTCAACCACCCCGGGACACACGGTCACGATCGCCTGCACCATGTCCGGAGGCAGTCTGGGCAGCTATTGGGTGAGCTGGTACCAGCGGAAGCCTGGCAGCGCCCCTCTGTTTGTTTGGTATCAAAGCGGCACCACAGGTCAGGGAATTCCTGATCGATTCACTGGTTCTAAAGGCTCATCGAACATGCATTTAACCATCAGCGGTGTGCAACCGGAGGACGCCGCCGAATACTTCTGTGGTGCGGAATTAAGCACCAGTCCGTATCCCTTCCTGTTCGGTAAAGGGACTATACTGAATCTGAAAAGTAAGTGATCTTCGACATTGTGCACTTTGCATGTGGGGGTTTGGACTTTCCAATAATTATTTTGATCTGGTTCTACTTTAAAGATTCTACAGTATAAATGTTTTTTGTCTGAGCATCGCTCTGTCTTCAATAGTGTTTCGCCCGTTTCCTATAATATTCGCATCTGGACATAATTTTCGTGAAGATTTTTTAATGTGTAATTCGGATATTTTGAAGTAACAAACATGTGAACCCTGAGTTTCATTGTGAATCTCTGAAGAATTAAGGCGGATAGTGCAGAAATCGGGTACAGGCAAAAGGGAGGATGCAGGAATGAAATTATTCAAGAGGAGTTAAATGGTGGTAAACTTCAAAAATAACATTATGTACATTATGTTTACTTCAAATCTTTTTCCCAGTTTGTAACCATGAGGTGATAGTTAAAAGAATCTCCAGCACAAGTGAAACAACAGCCTTCCACAGGGTGACTCTCCCTGGTCTCCAATGGACCGATTGGTGATCGGCGCAATTCTCAGAGGGAACAGGATATCGTGGACATGTTTCTGTTCTGTAACTAAATTAATGTTTGAAGAATTCCAACTTGCAAAAGTCCGAGTAACCCTCTTCAACTAATGCCCAGATATCTGGGAATAACTGTAAGAGAGGTTTCTCTGACCATTATTTTACATCAACATCTAATCCATTGTTTTGGAATAGTTCAAATATTGCAGTCGGCTCAGCGAGTGATTGTGAACCACTGGGAATTTATGGGAATTCCTCCCATTAAGAGATGTCTCTATATTATGTTTTTAACCGCAGAGTTGTTTTTGGATTTATGATTGTTTAAAATGCTCTATTTTCTCCCAATTCCGCATTTGGTGTCGCTGAGGGGAGCGACATTGCAATTAGAAAAAGACACCCAGTAATGTTACATGTGTTTCGTCACAAGTTGCTGTAAGTGGTCAGATGTGAATCAGCGCTCAGTGAAGACACGGGTTGAGCTTCGGCTCTGTCTTGTCAAAACAGAAATAAAAGCACAAAGAAAAATGTTATATAAATTGTGGAATTTCAAGATGTTTATGTCCCGTAAACTGTGCAGCGATATTTATGATAAATACAATATTTATTTAACGCGCCCAATAAAACATTGTGAAATTGACAATCACTCTCTTCAGCTGCTGAACCTTTACCTCATTGTGCTTCTCAAGAACTTAATATTTTGACTTTTCCTTCATGCAGCATTTGAGGAAAACGAACCCTCGGCTTTTTTGCACCGGATTTTCAACGTTTTCACTATCTGTCGCTGGTGTCTGTAAAACACTGTTAGTCGAAACGGTGATTTTCTTAGAGAAGGGGCGAATAAAATAATTTGGGGTTTCCAACTATCCCGATCAGCTGTAACTGACAATGTGGCCTCTTCAAACCGATTCGTTATCACTATAACTGTGAATATTTTGGTTGTATTTAGAAATAGATCGTTTTATTTCGTGAAGTACTGAACCTGGAGATTGTACACAAACAACTTTCCGATTGTGGGTCTTTTAATTTTCTTTTGCTCGCGTTTCCTCCACAAAATATAGTCAATTCCCTTCACCGTGTATATTGTGAAGTAATTTGAGTCGTCTCGAAAATGTTACAATACGCTCTAACAAATGCAAGGATTATTATTATTATTTTATTCCCGACCTTCTTCTAATTAGTTGAAGTCCATCATTGCTCAGCCGCACAGTTGTGAAGCTTGAATCGAAGTTCTTCCCGACTGAGGAAAGAAAACTATAGAAACTACAAGTCGTGTCCAGCCATTGTGTAGCGTTTATTGAAACTCCCCAAAGTCATCGAAGGTTCACACAATATTCGACATAGTTGGAAGTCGAGGCGCTCGATGGACCTTTACGGGGAATTCATTGGAATGGAGAGTTTAGTTGCAAACACAATCAATTATTGCCTTTTTTTGCCCGTTCTATGGCTTGTGAATTAACTTGGTCAGAGATATAATTAATAATCCTAAAGTTTAACCGCGCTTTCAATCAGCTGCTCCCGGCAATATTCCTTCTGACACCATATTTATTATCTGCTGTCGTTTCTGTTGATTGTATTCTTCAATTTCGTAAATGCATTCGTGGGAATCTACAGCTGGTATAATAAGATACAGAGGATATGGCGAGGAATTCTTATCAAAATTAACCATTTCTCACTGATTTAATACATTTATAGGCGGACATTGTCACTGTTCAACATTATTGTTAACAGACAAGAACACGTTGAAATGTTTCATACAGTGATTTGATAATTAATTTTCAACTGTCCTTCGTGTTATCACATTATGGATATTATCTGAATCCAAAATCCTTTCCTTCCAGACCCACAGGGCCCTTCGGTGACTGTCCTTCCGCCTTCACCAGATCAAATCACAGCAAAGAGCCAGGCGACCCTGGTGTGTCTGGTGAATGATTTTATCCCGGGAGCTGTGGAGGTCGAGTGGACTGTGGATGGCAGTGCCAGAAGTGAAGGTGTTGAAACGAGTGCGATCAAACAGCAGGCGGACAACACGTACAGTGTGAGCAGTTATCTGACTCTGCCAACCTCCGAGTGGGAGTCACACGACCTGTATTCCTGTGTGGTCAAACACCAGACTCTGGCCATTCCGCTCGAGAAAAGCATCGCCAGATCCAGTTGTACCTAAATCAGGAATGTGCACCGATAGTCGAATGTACCATTGGCAATCTACCTTTAATAATAATATTTGTGTTTTATAATAATTTGTCGATTTTGTTAATTTTGTCATAAATTTTCCAAATAGTTAACAATGAATCCGCGGTTCATATCGTTTGCTGGAATTCTTAGTTTGAATTGTACGAGTTCTCCATGTGTCATATTACACGAATATCGAATAATAATAATAAAATGTCTCTGCATTGGCCTCTGTGCGTCGTTGAGTTTCTTCCAGATTTTGTTTCCGCTTATTCATACCATGAGGTTTTCATCTTGTTTGTATTAATTACTCTGCACTTCTTTGACTTTTTTGGATTTGGTTTATAGATAAGTTGTTTTACAGGAGGAAATATTACACTACTTGTCAAGCACAGGTGTAGAACATTCCCCAACATTAGATTTCATTCTGTGTTGTGCTCTCCGGGGGCTTCGAAGTCTGACAATCCCACCTCGTCTCAAACTGAAATATCGTTTTCTCTTCAACTTTAATATGGTCTGGAATCGAAGGGAAGGGGGAGGGAGGGAGGGAGAGAGAGGGGATCTTGAATAGAGTCTTAATTTGTAATTCGCTTGACCGTATTTCTTAAAAAAGAACCAACTTCCCAATTGAGATTGAAATTAAAACATTTCCGCAAATCTACGCAATTTTAAGTCTTATGACAATCTGATGGATTTTGTGCTTGATGTCTGCTGTTCAGAAACGTTTGCTTTCAACTTCCGCCTGGCAACTTCTCAGCTGATATATTAACATCAGTGGAGACCTGTAGCTCAGTGGTTAGAGCACTCGCTTTGCAAGTGAGAGACCTGAGTTCAATTCCAGGCAGAGGGCGAAACCTTGGGCAAGTTTCCTTACTCCACACAGAGCCTAATAATAATCCCTCCAAAACCAAAAACAATAATAAATTGGTCATTTTCAATCTACGACTGTTTGTGGGACATTGCTGTGCGCAATTGGCTGCCGCGTTCGCCCACAAATATACAGTCAATTCACTTTACAGTGTGTTCTGTGAAGCGCTTTGGGACGTCCTCCCGACGTGAAAAGCACTATATCAAATGCAAGGATTATCAGCAGATGTTGCTGCATCAACATCCTTTTTATTGGAAACTACAACATTGTTAAACATTATACAAGTAATTTTGAAGGTCGTTATTCAATATAATATAAAAATTGGATTGTTTAAGTGGAACTAGGATAAGAAGCCCAGAAACAACATCTATAGATGTAAAACGCAAAAAAAAAAGGCAAAATACTGCAGATGATGGAAATCTGAAAAAAAAACAGAATTCTCTGGGGACACTCAGCAGGTCGCAGCATCTGTGGAAAAGGAATGTGAATCAACGTTTCGGGTCCACGACCATTCGTCAGAACATCTATAGATACGTTTGTTCGATGCCAATCCATACTTCAGGCTTCTTCCTTTTTCCTTGACAAAATAAGAGTCAAAACATATAAATGACATAATATTAGCCTATTTTGTGAGAAGATACGCCCATTAGAAAAACACTATCTCGTAAATTTCAAGAGAAGCCCCGAAATAACGTCTGTCAATCAAATACTATCTTAGCCGATACCACGCCTTGGGCTGAGTGCCAAAGACAGACTTTTTTCATAGTTATTCTAACGTATTAGAAAGGCCACAAAAACATTTTTAAATATTTAGCTTTACAAACACATACCAATGAAACTTCAACACGAGTTTTAACCTTAAACAGCATATGTTCTTGGAAATAATCATATGTCATTGCTATGCAAATACTTTAGCAAAATAGCACATTAAGCTTAATAAAGATCTGAACATTGAACGTAATAAAAACCTGAAGGCGCCTTGGAGGCAGGTGGGCATCGAGTAGATGGTCTGGGGGTCCGTATAAACTGTAGCGGCGACGGCCGAATTGATACACACACAGATCTGAATACCGTTTTCACAGTATAAGTAAGTTTAATAAAAATAACTGGTTGCAACTTCCATCACGAAAATTAAAGACTCATCAGGGTTAGTGATTGGTTATACCTTAAGAGTTAAATAAACATTAGATATTAAACTAAATAACGAAACTAAATAAATGCAACACCGTCTAAACATCCTGGTAAAGAATTAGCTACTGCAGTGAAATGAGGTAACAGTTTTAGACGTGGGATCGAAGACAAGTCTCCTCGTACCAGATGAACTGATTTATATGTTTACTTCCAATATTTTTCCCCAGTTTGTAAGCATGAGGTGATATTTAATGAATCTCCAGCTCAATAAAAGCAGCTTTTCATAGGGTGACTCTCCTTGGGCTACAATGGACCGATTGGTGAGAGGTTCAAATCTCAGAGGAAACGGGATAGCGTGGAAATGTTTCTGTTCTGTAACTAAATTAATGTTTAAAGAATTTAAACTTCCAAGAGACCGAGTGATACTCTTCAACTGGTACCCAGGTGGCTGGGAATAACTCTAAGAGAGGTTTCCTTGACCATTATTTTACATCAGCATAATCAGCATAATGCTTTAGAATAATTCAAATATTACAGTCGGCTCAGCGAGTGATTGTGAACCACTGTGATATTTCTCCCATTAACAGACGTCTGTATATATCGTTTTAATCTCAAAGTTGTATTCGGATTTCTGATTGTTTAAAATGCTTTATTTTCCCCCAATTCCGCGTTTGATGTCGCTGAGGGGAGCAACATTGCAATTAGCAAAAGAGACCCAGTAGTGTTACATGTGTTTCATCACAGGTTGCTGCAAAATGGTCAGATGTGAGTCAGCGCTCAGTGAAGACACGGGTTGAGTGGCGGCTCAGTCTGGTCAAAACAGAAATAAAAGGATAGAGGGATTAAGGGATATGGCGAGCAGTTGGAGTTAGGTTAGAAGATCAGCCATGATTTTATTGAATGACGTGACAGGCTCGAGGAGCCGAATGGTCTACTCCTGCTCCTAATTCCTATGTTCCTGTGCAAAAGTACAAAGAACAATGTTATATAAATTGTGGAAATTCAAGATGTGTATTTCCCGTAGACTGTGCAGCGATATTTATTATAAATACAATACAGTATATTTAACGCGCCCAATAAAACATTGTGAAATTGACAATCACTCTCTTCAGCTGCTGAACCTCATTGTGCTTCTCAGATACTTAATGTTTTGACTTTTCCTTCATGCAGCATTTGAGGAAAACGAACCCTCGGCTTTTTTACACCGGATTTTCAACGTTTTCACTATCTGTCGCTGGTGTCTGTAAAACATTGTTAGTCTAAAAGGTGATTTTCTTAGAGAAGGGGCGATAAAATAATTTGGGGGGTTCCAATTATCCCGATCAGCTGTAACTGACAATGTGGCCTCTTCAAACCGATTCGTTATCACTATAACTGTTAATGTTCTGGTTGTGTTTATTTATGGATCATTGTATTTCATGATGTATTGAACCAGGAGATTGTATGCAAAAATCTTTTCGATTGTGGGGCTTTTAATTCTCTTTCGCTCGCGTTTCCTCCATAAAATATAGTAATTTCACTTTGCGGTATATTGTGCGAAGTGATTTGAGACGTCTCGAAGATGTTAGAAGGCGCTCTAACAAATGCAAGGATTATTATTATTATCATTGTGCAGATGGAAGTGGTCAAAGTGAAGGGGGCCATACAAATGTAATTTGTTGTTATTTTTATCCTGAACTTCTTCGAGTTTGTTGAAGTCCGTAATTGCTTATCCGCACAGTAGTAAAGCCGCACAGTAGTAAATCTTGAATCGAGTTTCTTCCCGACTGAGGACAGAACATTGTATAAACTACAAGTCGTATCCAGCGATTATTTGGCGATTATTGTTTGGCGATTATTGAAACTCCCAAAAGTAATCAAAGGTTAACACATTTCTTCTCAAAATTAGGCATAGTTGGAAATAGAGGCGACTGATGTACGTTTACAGGGAATTCATTGGAATAGAGCCTTTAGTTGCAAACACTGTCAGTTATTTGCATTTTTTTTGCCCGTTCTCTCACTTGTGAATTAGTTTTATCAGAGATATAATTAAAAATCCTAAAGTTTTACTGCATTTTCAATGAGCTGCTCCCGGCAATATTCCCTGTGACATGATATTTAGTGTCCGCTGTCATTCCTGATGGTTGCAATTTTTAATTTCGTAAATGTATTCGTGAGAATCTACAGGTGGTATAATAAGCTATAGAGTATATGGTGATCAACCCTCATTAACAAAAAAAATCACAATGATTTAATACATTTATAGGCGGACATTGTCACTGTTCAATATTATTGTCAACAGACAAGAACACATTACAGTATTTGATACAAACATTTGATATTTAGTTTTCAACTGTCCTTCGTGTTATCAAATAATGGACATTATCTGAGTACAAAGTCTTTTCCTTCCAGAACCACAGGGACCTTCGGTGACTGTCCTTCCGCCTTCACCAGATCAAATCACAGCAAAGAGCCAGGCGACCCTGGTGTGTCTGGTGAATGATTTTATCCCGGGAGCTGTGGAGGTCGAGTGGACTGTAGATGGCGGTGACATTGACAATCTACCTTTAATAATAATAATTGTTTTGTAACATGTTGTTGATTATGTTCATTTTGTCATAAATTTCCCAAGTAACTAACAATGAATTCGCAGTTCATATCGTTTGCTTGAATCCTTGGTTGATTTTTACGTCATGTTCTCCTTGTATCATATTACACAAATATCGAACAATAATAAAATGTCTCCACATTGTCTTCTTCCCTCATTTTCTTCCATGTTTTCTTTTCGATTAGTCAAACCTTGAGGTTTTCATCTTACTTGCATTATTCTGCAGATTTGTTTAACATAATATAGCGATCATTTTATGGATTTGGTTTACAGACATATTGTCTTACTGGAGGCTTCGAAGACTCAAAATCTCATCTAGTCTTAGGCTGTAAGATCGTTTTGTCTTAAAGTTAATATTGTCTGGAATCGGAGGGTGGGAGGGAGGGAGGGAGGGAGGGGGGAATCCTGAATGCAGTTTTAATTCGTAAGTTGCTTGTTTCTTAAAAAAAACTTCCCAGTTAACAACAACAACAAGATTCCATTTATAAAGCGCCTTTCACGTCAGGAGGACGTCCCAAGGCGCTGCACAGTTGGGTCATGACCCGAGCAGGGGGGAAACGGTCAGGGTGAGGGGAGGGAAGGGAGGGAGCGAGGAGGGGGAAGAGAGTCGAGAGGGGAGCTGAAGGCTCGGTCAAAGAGAAAG